CAGTCTTCCTCATGTTCAGATGGAATCTCCTTTCTTGTAGTTTGAAGCCATTGTTTCGCGTCCTAGTCTCCAGGGAAGCAGAAAACAAGCTTGCTCCCTCCTCCCTGTGGCTTCCTCTCACATATTTATACATGGCTATCATATCTCCTCTCAGCCTTGTCTTCTTCAGGCTAAACATGCCCAGCTCCCTAAGCCGCTCCTCATAGGGCTTGTTCTCCAGACCCTTGATCATTTTAGTCGCCCTCCTCTGGACACATTCCAGCTTGTCAATATTTCTCTTGAATTGTGGTGCCCAGAATTGAACACAATATTCCAGGTGTGGTCTAACCAAAGCAGAATAGAGGAGTAGCATTACTTCCCTAGATCTAGACACTATGCTCCTATTGATGCAGGCCAAAATCACATTGGCTTTTTTTGCCGCCACATCACATTGTTGGCTCATGTTTAACTTGTTGTCCACGAGGACTCCAAAATCTTTTTTACACGTACTGCTCTCGAGCCAGGCATTCTCTCCCATTCTGGACCAAACCAATATTAATAAGCATTGCATTTGAATTTAGCCTCACAATATTTTCACCAGCAGAAATATCTAACTGCTAGGAAAGCTGCCTTGGATCTGAAACCTGAGATATATATATAGATAGATATAGATATATCCCTCCACTTTTAGGTGGTCTCAATGATTTGATGGCAGAAAACCCTGCTGACTAAGATCTTCCACCGGAAAATAAAGTGTGATGCAAGTTATGTCAGATCTTTATCTTCTCCATCCCAGTGACACGGTCACAGTGCTGGCACAAATACAGCCCAAGGCCAGGGTTGGTATAAGTAATTTATAACATTCCAGGTTTGTGAGGAGATCTGGATACCTTCTGTCATCTGAATACTTTTTTAAGTCCCTTAATGTTGGGAGCCCCTGGTGGCACAGAAGGTTAAAGTGCTGAGCTGCTGAGCTTGTTGACCGAAAGGTCCCAGGTTCGAATCTGGGGAGTGGCGTGAGCTTCCAGTGTCAGCCCCAGCTTCTGCCAATCTAGCTGTTCAAAAACATGCAAATGTGAGTAGATCAATAGGTTCTGCTCCAGTGGGAAGGTAATGCCGCTCTATGTAGCCATGCCGGCCACATAACCTTGGACGTATCTACGAACAATGCTGGCTCTTTGGCTTAGAAATGGAGATGAACACCACACCCCAGAGTCGGACATGACTTGACTTAATGTCAGGGGGAAACCTTTACCTTTAAATGTTGGGTCAGGTCATTTTAACAATAGAATTGCACTCTTAAGACTCATCTACACCTTCTGGATAAATTCAGTGTGAAGGGCTTTGGAGCTGTTCTGTTGCAGTCCTGGTAACATATTGAGACCCTTTCAGCCATCCACATGGCCATCCAGTTTGAAGGCTCCTTGGAGCTACAGTTGCTGCATCACCAGCAGCAAGTCCCTCTCTCTCAGAGGCTTGCTAGTGATGTCACATTTGCCCACCATCAATGAAATAACAAGACCAGACAACTGTGTTGAGATATATATGGGCAACTTTTATTAAATTGTTACATATTTAAACTTTCTTCAAGAACTGCAACCAGCTAAAAGTGGGGGTTTGAACTTGATGTTGTGTAAGCCAAGACAGTGACCATCCCAGACCCGCTCCTCAGCCAACTTGGGCAAGACACCAGAGTTCCCCACATAACTCACCATGAGTCGTAACCAGGATGACTGTTTGGGAAAGCTACATAGAGTATTCAAACCTCAAATTGAGAGACTTCTGGGATTAGAATTCCTCCAAGGCAATTTCTGTTTGCCCCCACCTCAGCTGAGCGAACTCGCTGGTCGTGATTCCCATTCTTGGCCTTCACTTTAGGTGTGCACAGAGATGTAAATTGTCTCCCTGTGTTCTGCATGACAACCTATTTAATGGCTCCACCTAATGTCAATTACCCATTAACCTCAACAGTGTAGGGTAGGGAAAAAACCCTTATTAAAGGGGGGTAAAAATCCTACCTGACCCTAAAGCAACCCTGCCCTAAAGTACACTGCTGTAGGGTGGGAAGGTGGGCCAATGTTCACTGCTTTAATGATGGAGCTGAGAGGAGCAAAAGCCTTAAATGTTGTACTCTGCCCCCAAAATTTAGTCCCAGCAAGGACTATTACTTCTTAGTCTCTATTCATTGGGATGGGCAAATAGCCCTCCCCATCCAGGCATGGCTGGAAGGGGAAACCCAATTCTGGTCACATCTTTCGACACCAGAAATGACATCACAAGAAATGTAGCATGGTCAGCAAGCTTCCAGGAGAAGCTTGTTGGCAGCAATACAGCAGTGGGTCCATTAGTGATGTGTAATGCATATCAGGCTGAATGCAGCCCAATTTAGCTGTCCACATCTCTGAAACTGCAGGAAAAATCCAAAACTTCTAAGTTCTGGAGTAAATTTTATGTTTTGCAAATATGGATTGACATCTGGGTGCAGTGGTTATACTGCGAATCCAGCAGTGCATTGTGTGGACTCACTGCTGCAGCTAAGACAATGAGACCACTTTAGTGTGGCCCTGTGAATACAGGGTTAACCTGGCTTATTTATTTATTTGTTTGTTTGTTTGTTTAGGGCTTTTATATCCTGTCCTTTCTCAACCTCTGCAGAGGGACTCAGGATGGCTAACAAAGTGGCACCCCATGGCGCCCACATCAAAACATAAATATACAATTAACAGCAATGCAATAATAACAATATAAAACAGTATAAACAGTATAAAACTGTATAAACAATATAAAAACAGACAACAAATAGTCAGTGGTCACTGATTTAAATCATTATCCAAGGGCAGTCCATCAGTTCTAAATAAGTCAACATGTCAGTAGGTCAGCCTATTCTCCAAAGGCCTGATCCCATAGCCAGGATTTTACTTGTTTCCGGAAGGTCAAGAGGGATGCAGCAGATCTAATTTCACTTGGGAGGGAGTTCCATAGCCAGGGGACCACCACAGAAAAGGCCCTGTCCCTTGTCCCCACCAGATGCAATTTTGACAATGGGGGGACAATTTGCAGGGTCTCCACAGATGATCTTAGGGCCCTAGGTGGATCATAGCAGGAGATACGTTAGGACAAGTAAACTGGGCCAGAACCGTTAAGGGCTTTATAGGCCAAAGCCAGCACTTTGAATTGTGCTTGGAAGCTGATAGGCAGCTAGTGGAGCTGGCGTAACAAGGGCGTTGTGCGCTCCCTGTACCCAGCCCCAGTGAGCAGCCTGGCTGCCGAACGTTGGACTAGTTGAAGCTTCCAGGCAGTCTTCAGAGGCAGCCCCACGTAGAGTGCGTTGCAGTAGTCTATTCGGGATGTAACAAGAGCGTGGACCACTGTGGCCAAGTCAGACTTCCTAAGGTATGGGTGCAGCTGCCGCACGAGTTTTAACTGTGCAAAAGCTCTCCCGGCCACTGCCGAGACCTGGGGTTCCAGGCTCAGCGATGAGTCCAGGATCACTCCCAAGCTGTGAACCTGCGCCTTCAGGGGGAGTGTAACCCTGTCAAGCACAGGCTGTAACCCTATGCCCTGTTCGGCCTTGCAACTGACCAGGAGGACCTCTGTCTTGTCTGGATTAAGTTTCAATTTATTCGCTCTCATCCAGTCCATTACAGCGGCCAAGCACCGGTTCAGGACATGAACAGCCTCCTTAGTAGCAGGTGGAAAGGAGTGACAGAGCTGGACATAATCTGCGTACAGATGACACCGCACCCCGAAACTCCGGATGATCTCCCCCAGTGGCTTCATGTAGATGTTAAACAACATAGGGGACAATACTGAACCCTGCAGGACTCCACAGTACAATGGCCGTGGGGTCAAGCAAGTGTCCCCTAGCAACACCTTCTGAGAGCGACCCTCAAGGAAAAACCGGAGCCACTGTAAAACAGTACCTCCAAGGCCCATTCCTGCGAGGCATCCCAGAAGGAGGTCCAACAGAACCAACAGGGACACCTTCCCCCTGTCGAGCTCCCGGCGTAGATCATCCACGAAGGTGACCAAGGCTGCCTCACTACCATGTCCCAGCCTAAAGCCAGACTGTGCTGGATCTAGATAAGCCGTGTCTTCCAAGAATACTTGGAGTTGCGAGGCCACCACACGTTCCAGGACTTTGCCCAAGAAGGGAAAATTGGAAACAGGCTTAAAGTAGATCCACTGAAGTATAATAATTCTAGCTTTGATCATATTTTTGGATTTTTGAGAATTGATTTATTTGGAACTGGGGGTTCTTTCACACTACACAATTACAGCACTCTGATTCCTGGAAATATACATTGAGATTTGTAGTTTGGTGAAGCACCAGAGTTTTCTGCCTCAGAATTCTAAATCCTCCTCCTTAAACTCCAAATCCCATGATTCCATAGGATATTGCCTTGCGAGTCCAAGTGGAATCATACTATTTTAATTGTGTAGTGTGAAAGGGTCCTGAGAATGCAGCCTTTTAAAAATTACTCATTTTCAAATTATCTTGTTATTGTAAAACTTTTGTTGACATTTAATTAAGACACGTGTATCATCCCCCAAAAAAGAGTAAGGGGGAGGAAGAAGCATATTTGCATAGAAATAACTATGGCAAACTGAAATCTTAACTTTAAGTCATTTTAATCACTCTCCCAGACATCATGATAATTACTTCTCGTTGACACGTTTGAAGAGCTTCCTTGCAGCAAGTGAATTCATTCATGCCGATTGAAGTTTACCCTGACGTGAGATGAGATGCACGCAATATCTCAATGTGGGCAAATCATATTTCTCATCGCCGCCTAACAATTAGTAGAAATTCATTACTTTGTGTTTGCTAGAGACCTAACAAAATAAGCTTGTAATTACTTGTAGCTTTGGGCAAAGTAAATATTTGATGTGATTCTGGTGAATCAGTTCCTAGCGATAAAACAAGTCAGCTTATCAAATCTTTCTTTAGCCTTTAATAGGATTCCGTGCATTAACAACAAAGACAAGGACAAATCTGCCATCCATTGTTTTTCCACTCTGTCAACAGATATTGCAAGAGACAGTGCCTATGGAGGTGGATGGACTGCTAGTGAACCCTTTGGAGCATAAATTCCCATTGACAATTGTTCTTAAGGAACCACACCTATCTATAATACATTGGGCAGACTCATGACACTGGAGCAGGAGGTGAGCAGATTTGTTTTTAAATATACAAGTCATAATAATATGACTTAGTAATTTTATAAAATGGTGTATAGATGGAATCTGACACCAGAAAGGATTGGTAAGATGTGTAAAAATAGTCATAATGACTGTTGGAAATATGGTGAAAAGGTGGGTATGTGGTGGTTGTGTAAAAAGGCCCAGAAATACTGGGCACAAATACTTACAATTTTAGAAGAATTTCTTAACGTCAAATTTGAAATGAAACCTGAACTCTATCTGCTTGCAATTTAAATGAACAACTCAAGAGAAAATGTGGAAGGTTATTGCTATACATGATGACAGCAGCAAAAATTACCTATGCTCAAAGATTGAAAGGCTCAATGATTTTGTCCCAAGATGATTGGCTTATGAAAAAAAAAGCAGACTTGTGGAAATGGAGAAACTTACTATGTCTAACTAACTTTAAGAAAGCCTGGGGCCCATTTATTTTGTTCCTCCAGCAAATATGGGGCCAAATCTCCAACACTGGTTTTTTGGACTATAAGTGTGTTATTATGTGGGGAAATGATGTACCAATGGTTCCTTTTCACTAAATGGGTGTAAAAAAACCTAAGAGAATATAACCACCAGACAGAGAATGTAAAGCCCTTAGATTAGATAACGTAGATAGTTTGTAGTTATTATTTTTTATGTTTAGGATGCAGTAATGAAATATTTTTAAATGCTTAATAAGTATTAATTTTAATTTAGTCTAATCTTAGTGTAATGTTATTGGAATTGTATGTGTTTTAATTGCCTATATGTAATCCAGCTTGAGTCACCGTCAGGGTAGAGAAACTTGGGGTAAAAATAGAGTAAATAAATAAATAAATAGTAATATTATTCTAGAAAAAGTATTTTTAAACTTTTGGTTTTGATGTTGTATTTATTGTATGTATGTATGTATGTATGTATGTATGTATGTTTTGTTTTAACTTGTCTTAATAAAAAGTTTAATCATAAAAAGAGCATCTATCTAAAAGATAGAGTTACTAGCTGGATAGATGCGGGGAATGCCGTGGATGTAGTGTACCTGGATTTCAGTAAGGCCTTCGACAAGGTCCCCCGTGACCTTCTGGCAAACAAACTAGTCCAATGTGGACTAGGCAAAACTATGGTGAGGTGGATCTGTAATTGGTTAAATGGACGAACCCAGAGGGTGCTCATCAATGCTTCCTCTTCATCCTGGAAAAAAAGTGACGAGTGGAGTGCTGCAGGGTTCCGTCCTGGGCCCGGTCCTGTTCAACATCTTTATTAATGACTTAAATGAAGGGCTAGAAGGCATGATCATCAAGTTTGCAGATGACACCAAATTGGGTGGGATAGCCAATACTCCAGAGGACAGGAGCAGAATTGATGTAACTGAAGAGGAATGGCAATTGCTAGAACTAAGTAGTAAGCCCCTTCCATTTTGAATAAGGTAGCGATATTTTCAGTTGTGCATTTGGAGAGGAGGATATCAGATAAATTTGACTTGATTGTGAGCAGCAATAGCAATGGAGTTGTTAGTCTACACATTGTTGGGAGTCATGGGGGTTAGTAGTGGAGATGAAAAATGTTTCTTCTTATAAATTAAATATTGTTCAACTTTGAGTAAATGTTATTGTTTTCTTGCAGGATTAGGTAAAACTGTGTCATTTCACAATTCTTAACAACTATATAGTCCAGTCATGATTGTGCTTTTTTGACCCTTCCTCTCCTTCTCTTTATCCGTATATGTATAAGTTTGGAATTATATCAGCCATATTGTTGAAATGAAATAAAGATGCAGTTAAGTTTGCACAACTATGTAGACAGAACTAGTTTTCTGAAGAATTCCCTCATTCCTTATCTGCTCTGTTGCTTCTTTATCCAAACCCTTGGGTTTATACTATTGAATTAACTTCTTACTATCCTTCTTTCACCCTATCTTTTTCATGTAATCAATGATGGCAGACCCCATCACTGTCTCTTTTTAAAGTATGTAATTCACTCTAATAGAAGTTTCTCTTTGCTGATGCCAGCCATTAGTTGAGGAGTTCTTGGCAGAAAGGTGGTATAGAAATGTATTCAGTAAATATGAATTGACAAGGCTTTGATTATTTCTCCTTTGGTTTCAGTAGAAACCGGTTAAGGCCATACTGCTCAATATATTATAACTGTTCAAGTACCATTTAGAAGTTTGTAATAAAGTTTTGGCCACAGCCTTGGCAGTACACTGCAACCCATCAATTTGATTCTAGTGCATAAAAGTCAGATTATGCACTGATCTCTTGATTCATAAGAATTCAAACACTTCATTTCAAACATTAATCTTTGTTGCTTCAAAAATAAATGATTATTTTGCAGTAATGCCCAGACATTTGTTGGGTCCCCAAACAGTTTTCTTCTTGGGTTGTTTTAGGTTTTTCCGGGCTATATGGCCATGTTCTAGAGGCATTTTCTCCTGATGTTTCGCCGGCATCTATGGCAAGCATCCTCAGAGGTAGTGAGGTCTGTTGGAAGTAGGAAAATGGGTTTATATATCTGTGGAATAACCAGGGTGGGACAAAGGACTTTTGTCTGCTGGAGCTAGGTGTGAATGTTTCAATGTTTTCTTCTTTCCACACTTTTAGAAAATTGTTGTCTATAACATAGAACATACCTATATGAAAATGCAAGTACAGGCAATCACCAAGTTATGAACAAGATAGTTTCTGTAGATTTGTTCTTAAGCTGAATTTGCATGTAAGTCAGAACAGGTACATTTTTAAGTGTTGTTGTTGTTCATTCGTTCAGTCGTTTCCGACTCTTCGTGACTTCATGGACCAGTCCACGCCAGAGCTCCCTGTCGGTCGTCACCACCCCCAGCTCCTTCAAGGTCAATCCAGTCACTTCAAGGATGCCATCCATCCATCTTGCCCTTGGTCGGCCCCTCTTCCTTTTTCCTTCCACTTTCCCCAGCATAATTGTCTTCTCTAGGCTTTGCTGTCTCCTCATGATGTGGCCAAAGTACTTCAACTTTGTCTCTAGTATCTTTCCCTCCAGTGAGCAGTCGGGCTTTATTTCCTGGAGGATGGACTGGTTGGATCTTCTCGCAGTCCAACGCACTCTCAGAACTTTCCTCCAACACCACAGCTCAAAAGCATCGATCTTCCTTCGCTCAGCCTTCCCTAAGGTCCAGCTCTCACATCCGTAGGTTACTACAGGGAATACCATGGCTTTGACTAGGCGGATCTTTGTTGCCAGTCTGATGTCTCTACTCTTTACTATTTTATTGAGATTGGACATTGCTCTCCTCCCAAGAAGTAAGCGTCTTCTGATTTCCTGGCCACAGTCTGCATCTGCAGTAATCTTTGCGCCTAGAAATACAAAGTCTGTCACGGCCTCCACATTTTCTCCCTCTATTTTCCAGTTGTCAATCATTCTTGTTGCCATAATCTTGGTTTTTTTGATGTTTAGCTGCAACCCGGCTTTTGCGCTTTCTTCTTTCGCCTTGATTAGAAGGCTCCTCAGCTCCTCCTCGCTTTCGGCCATCAGAGTGGTGTCATCTGCATATCTGAGGTTGTTAATGTTTCTTCCAGCAATTTTCACCCCAGCTTTGCATTCATCCAGCCCCGCACATCGCATGATGTGTTCTGCATACAAGTTAAAAGGTTGGGTGAGAGTATGCAGCCTTGCCGTACGCCTTTCCCAATCTTGAACCAGTCTGTTTTCCCGTGGTCAGTTACGACTGTTGCTCCTTGGTCCTTGTACAGATTCCTCAGGAGAGAGGGAAGGGGCTTGGGATGCCCATCCCACCAAGAACTTGCCACAATTTATTATGATTCACACAGTCAAAGGCTTTAGAAGAGTCAATGAAGCAGAAGTAGATGTTTTTCTGAAACTCCCTGCCTTTCTCCATTATCCAGCGGATATTGGCAATTTGGTCTCTCGTTCCTCGACCTTTTCTAAACCCAGCTTGAACATCTGGCAACTCTCGCTCCATGTATTGCTGGAGTCTTCCTTGCAGGATCTTGAGCATTACCTTTTTAAGTGTAACTACTACCAAAAATATATCTTTTTAAGCTTTGGATCTCATAGGGAAGGGTTAACACCCCTGTGGCATTTGTTTTGCTGTCTGTGTCCCTCACTTTCTGTCCCTGTGATAATTGGATTTTGAAGAATGTGGCTTTTGTAGAAACAAGGATTGGTGATAAAGCTGCAGTAGAGACACCTTTTTCCCATGATAACTTTTCCAGGAGTGAATTTCCCTTCCTAGGGGAAGATTTTTCTCATTTCCTGTTGTTTCATCCCTGTTATTAATTATGAGTTATTTGTAAGGCGGATGTTTGTAACTCGGGGATTGTTTGTATCGTAATAATAATATTAAAAACAAATTTTGGTTACTTATATATTCAAAATGAATTCAAATCTGCCAGGGATTATTTCTTGAGGAAAGAAAACCTATATAGTTAATTATTATTATTTTATTATTATTAACTATATTTATACCTCGCTCTTCTCACCCTGAAGGGGACTCTGAGTGGCTTACAGATTATGGCAAAATTCAATGCCTCATTATACATATAAATAATACAACATATAAAATTATAAAACAGTTAAAACATCCAAATGCAATAAAACAGATTAAAACATAGTTTCCCAATCACTCTCCCCCCACAGGCAAAACAAAAGTCTGCTAGTAAAAGTGGTCTTATGCATTATTACCATGGGTTAAGGTGCTAGTCTAGAAGACTAAAGGATTAGAGTACATGTTTAAACAACATTTAAACAACAATTCCAATTGGTTGGAATGAGGGTGTGGCTGCAGGTCTCCTCGTGTGCAAGCCCAGGGCCGAGCAAGATAGCAAAGCTGGATAACAAATGCTCTGGCCCCAGGGTTTCTCCTGCAGCAGGGCCCAACAGAGCTTAATGTCTGCATGTGTCTATCAATTTTAGACAAAACCTTGAGGTTCTTATTACATCAACATGCATTCATTTTTGAAAACTCTCTCAAATGGAAAAACGATTAAACAGGACCC